ATATGTTCTTCCTCATTTAAATAAAGTCATCTTATCCGAGCAATAATAATTATCAAATAAAGAGGAAGTTCACATTTTAATGTATTGGTTAGCCGAGTCAATTTATATTGAAGATAAAATTGGGTTACCTATATATATGAAATTATTTTATAATAAATACTTTTACAGTATATTTCTTTATTATTTTATCTCATTAATTATCTTACCGTATTTACGAAATTTATCTGATCCAATCTACAAAATTCATAAAATTTTATGACAGTGCTACACTGATTGTCAGAGGCATTCGATTTTATATCATCTACTTATCTCAGAGAGATATTATGATATTGTTTAAGTGATCTTTGTATCTGTTTATATAGGATACAAATCGTAAATACAGTATGAAATATTTAAAGATACAAAAAAGAAAATTTTAAAAAAGTCACAAATAGGAATACAAATCAAGTCCAATAAGCACATAAAAACAGGAAGTAATAATAAAAAAAATTGATTGCAAAGATCTATCAGATCATACATGTTGAACAAAACTACACAATATTTATCTTATTTAGGCAAATGCAAATGATTATTTTTTAACTCTTTTTCCTTTTCTTTTGGTATCTGTTTTTCTTTTTTTAGATTGGACCTCTTCTTCTAGTTCTTCAGTTTTTTGAAAAGTTTCATAATCAACTGAATTTATAGGCTTTTCAACAATATTCTCATTATCAGATTGCATTTCGTCACTCTGATAATCTTCAACTGTGGTATTATATTTTTTTCCATCACAATATTGATCAATTTCAATATCTGTGTTAAGAGGATTTTTTGATGTTTCATATAATCCAAGTGGTTTTTGTGATTTTTGTATGACAATAGATTCGATGTCATCATCAATAATATCAATTATCGATGATGCACTTGCTAATATTGACGATAAGCTCTCAGATTGATTAATACTTATGGTTGAGGTTTTTAAATAATCGATATCAGTAGCTTCAATCATCATTTTGCCAGATTTTGAAAAATTTTTTTTTTTTTTTTAAAGTGAAGTTTTGCCTTTATCTTTATTAATATTTTGTATTGAGAATCTACTATGAGTTTTTCTGACCAGAGCCAAGTTACAAAAATTTTACAAAAATGAGACTCAAACTATCAGAAGCTATCTAAACTAGAAATTCTGATTTATCTGCAACCTAAACCTACTAGAGTGATTAAAACTCACCTAGATTTGATAATATAAAATGTTATTAGTTGGTGTACTATATTTAATCCATATGATAGTCTATAGCAATATTTTTCTGATTGCTTTTCCAAGAGGTGGACATGTGTTATTATCATATTGTTGGTCAGATAGACCGCAAAGGCAGCTGTATATATGTGTGGTATTCTGCAGCAGGTTGTATTAGGATTAGTTGTTCTATAAGAAGTTCTTGGGCTTCGATTAGGTCTGGAAGGTATGTTATTTTGCTGTTTTCATTCTGAAAGTTTAGCGCAGTATGGTATCCAAATCTGGTTGTATATATTTTGTAAGATTTGTATAAGGAGTTGAATAGTTGTCTTTATTGCGACTTGGTTGGAGTTTGTATATTCTCTTATAGATTGTATAAGAGATGTCAGGATAAATCCTTGAATGGTTGTATATAGGTTAATGTTGTTATGTTGGTTGTTAAGTGAAAAATATTGATGATTTATAAGTATATTATATAGTTCTAGTAGCTGAGTATTAGTGATATCCATATTTGAGTTGTGAAAAAATTGCTGTATAGTATTAGTAATAAGTGTATTTATTGTAGATGTGTCTGGACAGGTAAGCCAGTATTTTTGGCTTTCTCGAGCTCTATATATTATACAGTTGTTATTTGGGATTGTTGATGGGTATAGTGTGTATTGATATATTAAAGTAGGAAGTATATCTAGCATAAGCTTGATTTTGAATGTTTTTTGTTAGCATAGTT